CTTCTACATAGATTAATTACTGAAAATAACAGATAAAATATAAAGTTTTTGCTTAAAAAACGTTTGATAACTATCTGGACATTATAAAGATTTCGCATGTGAAATTTAAAAATTTTCTGATACATAAAAGTATTTTTAATCTTCAAATGAATATTACTTTGCATAATAGAATGGCAACATGTGGAAAGAAAAAAAAGAAATGAGAAAAACATTGCTTTACAAACCTTAAGATTTAATAAACAAAATTTGATATTTTGCGTATGAAAGCATTGTAATGTTTACTGATAGTTTGCCAAATTTCGTTAACATTCGCTTACTAATTTAAAAGTTATAGCATGAAACTATAACAAGCACAAAATGGTTACGAGGTCGGTTATGAGTAAGTTTGTCACATTGCAGTTCACCTCTCCGATTGGGATCACTCGTCCTACAATCACCTGGATGTCAATTCCCAGTGAATGTTTTTGGATTGGAGATGGACCAATCAATATAATTCTCCACAGTGTTGGTTGTGCTTTCTTGTCCTACCTCGTTCTAGTAGTTTTGTCTCATGATTTCCTCCGGGAGGCTGATGTTGCACACGCTGGCTACTGTCCGGTCATATCTGGTGGATGATGCTACTCATGTCAATAGTTATTCCTCTGGTACTCCACCTCTAGGTGTTTACTATCTAAGGATGATGTTGCATAGTGTGGAGCTAGTCCAATAGGGTTTGGATTTGTTGTGAACTGCCACATTAGCACATCCTTTCCTCCTGTTAATCGGAGGTCGGGTTCCTGAAGGTTTGACTGTGGTTGTGGATTTGCACACACATGCCCTGTTGCTCATTGTTGTAACTGAATGTTTGGCTGTGGTTTTGGATTTGCACACACATGCCCTGTTGCTCATTGTTGTAACACATACTCTCCTGTTGCCAAATTCTCTCAAAAGTTCCGTCTGTGCATGATGAGAAACCCAGGTCTACACAGGTGTGAATGTGGAGACAAGGCAGTGCTTTTCATTAGTACACAGTAATGTACTAAATTTTATGACTATTTAATGAAAAAAAAATGAAACTTTTAGGTTACATTCATTCTTCACAAAAATATGCTAAAAAAGTTTCAAAACAATGATAAAACCTAAAAGTAATAGGTTTGAAAATTTTATGGATTGGTAAATAAATACAGATATGAAATAGCCTATTTTAAGATGAATTGGATAAAGTGAATAATTAGATTTGTTGGATGTATAGTTGACTATTTTTACTCATTTGTTTTGTGTCTATCACCAGAAAAAAAGTAGTTGAAATTATTTTAAAAACAATGGCAATGTTAATTTATTTGGAATATTGTGGATCAGAGTAATAAATTTAAAGTAAATCAAATAAAAATTAAATTATTTCAAATTTGTAATAATCATTTTGAAATTAGAGGAAAGGGCTGTCCCAGTTTTTTGGTTTAAAAATCTAGTCATCCTATCCATATTTTATTTATTTTATGCTTGACATGTCATTTTATTTTCATGAGTCCACCAGGTGATAAATGTTGTTTATTGTGTGGTTCATGATTTAGATAACGTGGTGGGTCAATGATTGGATGACACAGTTAGCAAAAACTTAAATCCTTTTTTTTTTCCCTAGCTATGACCTGCAACATGTAGGAAGATATTTGCTGCATACTTTTGAGCCATTTTCCAAGATCTGGATATTGATAATCTAGAACTTGTATCACTATTGACTTTGTATTTGTGTTCTCATTAAGCATTATGCAAGGCTTGAGCACTTCTTTCTTTATCTTCTGTGGATTCTTGGTCTGAGGTCTTTACTGTTTCTCAGATTTTAATTGTGGTTGTACCGCTCTTTAGTTTGCTAGCTGTGATCATCTTTTCTTACTTCTCTCTTGTTCTGACTGACTGACTGACTGACATTTTTTTTTCTGTCAGAGGTATATGACCTAGTGATTTTCATTTATGCTTATTTTCCTTTTATGGTTTTAATTTATTGGTAAACTAGAAAAAGACATTCAGTTTTTGGATCACCCTATTTTTTGACAATCTAAAGACTAGTTTGACATTCTATCCCTTTTATCTGTCCCCATAATTTTACTGAATGCAGAGAACTGAATTTTTTTTTTCCAAGCAGCATTTCTTATGAAAACTGAACTAACTAACTCCAGCTTAATGTTGCATACGGGTCAACCCAATTTGGTGTCTTACCTGTAGTTATTACCATGAAAATAAATAATTTTCTTGAATTACCCTAGGATTGCATGATGACTCATTATTTGATTTATAATTGCTAACATATATAGCTATCACAATTGCATACTGTGTATCTGGCTTATCTTTTCCCAGACTGGACTTGACAATCACCCTGTAAAACTTGTTTTCCCACAAACGTTTTTACTTTTTCAGCTCTTATGCCTTCTTACAATAAGTTACCATTTTGGAAGGAAGTTGTGACATTGATACAATCATTTATGCACAATTATATGGCAGTGTATCACTGGAAGGAACTGAAAAGGACCAAAAGTTATGACAATGATATCGAAATATTTTCCCCCAAAAAACCCAAAACTCAAGCATGACATTGAATCCACATCAAACTGTAATATGGCCATAGGCTTTTTAAACTAATAAAAAAATGTAGTGACTATGGCCAGTCTAGTCATGCTAGACCCATGTCTTGTTGCATTAAAAACAAAATTTATCAAAAATATACAGTATTGTACAATAAGAAATATTTTAAGAAAATAAAGTGTGTGTTGGCCATGGCTATAAAAAATGGCAAGAAAAAATTATGTAACTTGATGCTATCAGTGTTGATCGATCTATGATCTTTATTGTATTTTGAATGTCTCCAAAAGTATGGAAATATAATATATTCGTCAAATTTAACATGATATTTCAAACACAGCAAACTAATCAATAATGTGGTTGAAGTTACATAAATAACCAGTTCTACTCTTAAATATTTTTCTACTGAATTTATAAAAATAAGTTTAGAATGTTAGTTGTATGTGCAAAATAGTAAAACTTTGTTCCTAGTATTTGGTATGATATTAATATTTATAAATGTGATAGGACAAACAATTTTATGAGATATACTTTACTTAATTTACATGTATTGATTACAGATTGGGTATGGAAACCAGAAGTTATTAATCCAACATATGTACAGATTCTTCAGATGTTTCAGGATAAAAAGAACTGTATCTACTCTATACATCAGATTGGTAATTTTTTTTAACCTAATTTCAATATTGACAAGAAGGATTGGATTTGATTATTTTATTGTCACAGGTGATTGTTATGATAAGTGCTTAGTGCTGAAAGCATCAGATAGTTCATGAAGTTCAAAATATGCTTGTTTGAGGAAGTATTTATTGAAATTTTTGAAATAAACGTTCATGAACAAAAGATTTTCATTCAGCTGGTAAATTGTTTATGTGTTTCAAATGGTATGAATTGAATGTACCTAGAGTTTTGGATGGAGAGAAAAATAGTATTTTTGCCGAAGCCTACTTTGTCAACTTCAAAGATTTAAAGCAAAAACCATCCTATAACTCCAGACAACTGCAGTTAATTAAAGGCTCAAACCATAAAAATATTCTCTGCCAAATTGCTTCTTAAATAAATGCATCTCCCCCCCCTTTTGCATTCAGTAATGTTTTTCTCATGATTAGGGGGGGGAGTTGGTTCATGCATGAATCACCCAACATCCTGTAGTAGTATTAGTGGCATTAGCCTACTGTCATGCTAAGGTTTCACTTAACAATGGAGATTTTATTCTCAGTGCACTGGGTTTTTATGCATGACTCACCCAGTATCTGTAGTAATGCTAGTAACATTAGCCTAGTGTCGTTTCAAGTAACAATGGGAGTGTTAGTCTCAATGCACTGGGTTTTTATGCATGACTCACCCAGTATCTGTAGTAATGCTAGTAACATTAGCCTAGTGTCGTTTCAAGTAACAATGGGAGTGTTAGTCTCAGTGCACTGGGTTTTTATGCATGACTCACCCAGTATCTGTAGTAATGTTAGCCTGGTGTCATTTCAAATAACAATGGGGGTTTTAGTCTCATTGCACTGGATTTTTCATATGTGACTCACCCAACATTCTGTAGTAATATTAGTAACAATAACCTGATGTCATGTTTCAATTAACAATTGGAGTGTTAGTCTTAGTGCACTTGGTTTTTATACATGACTTACCCAACATTCTGTAGTAATATTAGTAACATTAGCCTAGTATCATGTTTTAGTTAACAGTGGAGGTGTACAATAACATATATTAATATAAATACATTGACAAGTACTATCATTAAGGTCAGTTAAGAAGAAAAAAATGATTAACATTCGATGCCTTAAGTGCATGCTTAATACAACTCAAATGGTTCAACACATGGAACTATGATTACTATATTCCTCACTGTTTGAATTCCATGATGTAAAGATTGTGAATATCTAAATATTATTTAACAAAATTAAAAATTCAGTGAATTATTTACTGGGGTAAATATACAAGCACATTTTCATCAGCCCAATTTTCTTTGTTCTAATTAGATAAGAAAAATATATATTACTTATGTCAGGACTTAAAATATATGTTCTTTTTTTCGCTGATTGTCAAGATAAAAAAAAGGCTTTTAGTTATATTTCTTAATAGTATAAATATATGCTGTGTTGGATTCTTCTACAGTAGGTGTCTGTGACTTGTTAGCGATAAATTCAATGATGAATAAACAGCACGCACTTCACTTGTTTTCAAAATAATATGTATATATATATATATATTTGGAACAAGTTAAATGTATGTTCAACAAATTCTTCACACTATAGATATTATGGGCATATCATAAACACTATGTATGTAGTTTTCTCCTTCTTGTCAAAAGTCCACTTAGGCCTATTCAATTACTTTAGAATTTCAGTTGACAAGCCGATTTCTCTTCTCTATTACTATTGCATTAGTATTCTGAGCATGATTCACTTACAATTGTGGTGCAAGTTACTATAATTTGTTTGGTCTTCTTTCTTCTGAAGATCCTCTGTTCCTTTTGTCAAAGTGCACTCAGGCTGATTTAATTACTTTAGAACCACGCTTTGACAGAATAAATTATTATTCTTATCTCCATTTCTACTGTTAGTCTTACTCTTACATGTTAAATATTAGGCCTATGTCAGTCGTAAGGCCTATCACTTCTATGGTAGTTAACTTCATGCCGAACCTTTCCTTTTGTAACTTTACTTTCGTTTGCTATTATCTGTCTACTGTTTCTGCTCATCTCACGCTACTTATATCTTTATCACTTAATCATCTGTCTGCCTTCTATATTCTCAACATCAGTGTATTGCACGTGATGTTCAATAGTCTTAACATCAACTTCTTACAATCATCTGCTTTTAACTCTTATTACAACAAAAACTAAACAATAATAAAATATTCACTCACAAAACTAAATTAAGCAATAATATCTAAAGTAAACAGTCTTTTATATCATGACAACTTACATCTAGTATTGAAGAAGGAATAAAAAAATGAAACTTAAAAATTTCAGGTTAATTTGCTGATATTATTGAAACTCTTCTTATTTTGCAAAATAATTTCTGTTTCTGAAAATTGTTATATAGTAGTGAAATATAACAATTCAGAATATTTCTGTATTGTTTTAATTATGATTTTTTGAATATAATTATAGCACAGATGGGCGTGTCAGAAGGTAAAGCTGTAGGACAGTGGTTTGGACCTAACACAGTAGCCCAGGTGCTTAAGTAAGTTTATTCTAACTCTTGTTCTATGGAATAATATTTTTCATCTGTCTGAGTAATTTTGAAAAGTTTTAGTTTTTCTAAAAAAAAGATAGTTATTTTCCTGAAACAGATAATTTTTTTTCCATAATTCCTTTTTATTATATGTTAAAAACTACTACTAACTTTCAGTGTTTGTAGGTATTACAATAGCTTGATATATATTTGATATCTTAACATACTTATTTAGCACTAAAGGTAAGACAGATATTTAAAAAAGGAAAATGCGTAAAATTAAAACATAACTAATACTTCATAGCTGACAAAGTGGATGTTTCTAGTGTTTGTTTTACCATCTGCTGTAATTAGTTTTTCTATGGTTTGCAATGTTAATTACAAAAGAAAATTTAGATGCTTAATATACATGGGTAGGAAGTAGCATTGTTAGAGAAAAATTAGTGTTATGTTATATATTACCATGACGACTTACACGACAAATATCAGGTAGTAACAAATATTTTTTAGTATTGACTAAAGTAGTTGTATAATATGGGCCTGGCATGGCCTAATTATTAGGGCACTCAACTCAAAATCTGAGGGTTGAGAATTCGAATCCCTGTTGCCGAACATGTTCATCCTAGAAGGTTGCTGACTAGACTGGCCACTTGGGTGTAAAAATTCTTGACCTATAAAAGTACTGGCTGACCCTAAGCTAGTTGGGATTATGGGTTATGGAAAAGATAGTAATTGTATGAATCAAATTTTACTCGTCTTCACCTAGAAATTAGTGATGAATATGAGGCCTTAACATTTATAATTGCCAACTTTTTTATATTTCTTCACATTTTTCTGGAAAAATTAGCTTTGTTTGTAATAAAGTTTTGGTTTTGTTTAGTTAAAAGTTACGTAAATCCCTGGTGGCTGAAATATGGTAAGACTATAATATAATTTCATATATTAAACATAAAGTTCTATGTTAGAATTGCTTTGTCTTTACCCTACTTATAGCCACAGCTTCCATTTATACAGAAAATAAATCTAAGCCTTAAAAGTACAAGTCTGAAATTCAGTTATTTTAGTTTACTTACAGAAACATATTTAATGTACATGTTCAAATATTTTTTGATTATTTTAAAATGACTCATTTTGACGTATTGTTAATATGAACTAAATTTTGCAAATTTGTTAAGTGTTTTGAAATACTTGTATGGATTTATTGCTGAAACTGGATGTGTATTATTGTTGAGACATTAAACATTCACAGTGATTAACATTGTTTTCATTGTATAGCATTTATTTAATTAATGTGGCTGAAAGTATGTAGTACAACTGTTAGAAGTCAAGTTCTAATGAGCTACAAACATTTAGTTGGTTCATTTTGAAAGCTCTGAGAAAAAAAAAAATTCAAATGTACTCCATTTGAACTAAATATTTGGTTGTTTGCTTAAATAGCCATGTTATTTATAATTCTGGATATAGATTCTGTTTTTCACATGCTATATGTATTTGCAAGGAAAAATAATGTACTAAAAAAATCAAAGTCACTGTAATGTTTACAGTGGAATGCCCAAACAGACTAAGCTATAAGCATTTCTTACTGTAGCTTGTTTTGTGGAAATTTGCCAAGTATATTCCATTGTTACAACTCAACATGTCATAAGAAATTTCATTTTGCTACAATGTTATCAATACTGTTACATATATTTCTTGTGATTAAAGTTTGTGTTTATACATACTTGCCACTTCATATATTGAGAAATTAAATGTATACATGAATTAATCTATATCCAAGTAAGTTTGTCTCGATGCATTTTTAAATTGTGAATAAAGGTTATGTTTGTAAATATACAAAGTATTTGTTAATGTTATTTATATATTAGAATGCAAGTGGCATCATATGCTACTGCCTGTTTTAACTACATTCTTCTTCTTTTGTTTTGTGATTTAAGCATAACACCTTCATTTTTAATAACTAATTTTTTTATTCTATTTTTACTTTCATTAGAAAATTGTCTGTATATGATGATTGGACATCGTTGGCTGTTCATGTTGCTATGGATAATACTGTGATAATTGATGATATTAGTAAGTTAAATTTTTATTAGTTCTACTTCTTTATAATACATTTGTTGAACTTATGAATATAGAAAATTTGCCGATACCATTTTGTACTGATATCATATGTTCATGTGTATGAATTTAATTTCTATTTAATAGAGTATTTTTAAACTAAACATATTGTGACCTTACTTAAGTTTCATAAAACCACTCTCGTAAGTTGAGACAAAGTTGTGTTCTCACCTATATATAATTTATAGATAAACCTTGTTCCATTTTGAAAAAGAAAATGACCATGGCATTAAAAGTTGTATATTTACTATTTGTATTTTTTAAAATAAAAATTGAGAATATCCTTTTACATAAAAATAAACCTAAACCAGTCTAATACTGTAATTGCCTTTCTGGTGCCATGTTGTTTGTTACTTAACCATTGCCACTTTTACATTAACATGTTGGTTGCCACATAATAAGTTAAGTATAAATAAAATTAAACATTCAAGAGGTGCCAAGGAGCAGTCACAGTGTACCAAACTCATGTGCCACAAGAAAAATTTGGCTTTGAAACATAATTGTCTGTGATCCACCAGTGTGTCCGTAACTAAAGGGTTCTAAATAAATTGCAAAAGTTCTTGTTAGTACATGTATCTTGTTATTTTTTATTATTTAGGTAAGTAAGAAATAGTTTTTGGTTACAATTTTTATTGTTTAAAAATGTATTACAATACACACTATTACTTAGTTTAACATTTAGTATTAGATATTTTCTTGTGTAATATTTGGCTATAGAATATTTTCTTGTGTAATATTTGACTATAGAATATTTTCTTGTGTAATATTTGGCTATAGAATATTTTCTTGTGTAATATTTGGCTATAGAATATTTTCTTGTGTAATATTTGGCTATAGAATATTTTCTTGTGTAATATTTGGCTATAGAATAAGTATCAAATACAATTATTGGTATAAGGTGGTATTATGATACAAACTTTCTGTTACTAAAGTTTAAACCTACAGCCACAGACAAGCCTTTTTCACAAATAGTAATTTAGTTAATTCTAAAGTTATTGAAAGCACGTGAGAAAGTCGTGTTTAAAATCTGTACTTCCTTGCATGACTCTTATTGTTAAATACAGATATTTACTTTTATACAAGATTTGTGCTGTGAAAGTAAAACATGCTAATTGTGAAAACTTAAATCTTGAGTAGTTGCTGATAAAAGTTTGACATCAATACTTATCTGGATTTATCTTTTTTAGACAATTGTAAAAACTGCTACATTTGCCTGCTGTTGGTCCAGTGCTCACAGTTTTTTATGTAGTTTATTTTATATCGGGTGAAGATAGAATAAATGCTATTCATGAATATCAATAAATATATAAATATTTGTTGGTCATTTTATATATTCAGTAAGATTACCAGTCCTAAAATCTAACCTTCAACTCTTCCATACATTTGTCTTCACATATGTTACCCAACTTCGTGAATGAAACTAGGTTTACAAAAGCCTGTGTTATAATTTACATTATTTCCTATGCACTGAGAATCATTTCAAGCTTTCCTATGTAGAATTAAGTTATAAGATTTTGAAGTTATGAAAGATTAGACCTGCATTTGTAATTTAATATTTTTGTTTTTTGTGTATGTCTGTAGAAAATTCTAATGCCAATTAAATTACAAGTTTGTTCATTATTAACTTAAAATGCATTAGAGCCAAAAGGAATCAAGTGTTTTGGGTTAATTATTGTTGGTTAATTCTCTGAACTCAAGCTAAATAAGCTTCTTTGCTTCCTATAATTTTCAATTCTTCTAATTTATTTGTATTCTTTCCAATAAATATCTATCATTTTTAACATTCCTGTAGAATTTTTGACATACCAGTTAAACCTAGAAAAGTTTAATGAAAATACTATACCACAATGAAGTGTATTTTGATAAATTTTTATAGCAGATTCCAATAAGAGATTTCCAAATATAATATTTTAATTTTTATATTAAGTTAGTGTTAACATTGAATCTTTATTTCATGTTAATGTTCAAGATGCCACATTTATTTTAGTATAAATTATGTGATACATCTACTCAACTACCTAATAAGTCTGATCTTTTTTTTGTAACAAAGCAAATATATCTACATGTCTTAATAAACTCTTTCATTGTGTTATTTGAATATTTCTGCTGTTATAGTTATGCTGTCTAGAATTTACATAAATATAGACTAAAATGTAAACATCATAACTTAACCCTCTCCAGATGGGTCAAAGGCCATGTCATCGCATTTGTTGACTCGTATTCAAAATTTTATTGAACTACTATATCATGAATTTATATCAGTAAGGTTGGTATCAAACTGTAGATTATAATTCA